CAGTGTCTATCTTCGTGCGGTCCAACCAATCACCATCAAGGCCGCGGGACAGAGAGCTATGGTGTCAGAAGGTTGCGTGTTCAGATTATGTCGGGGTCACCAATATCGGAATGTGTTTAGGCTATTCAGGTTTAATCCTAACGGCTGCGGTCTTCCAGGCTCGGTTCAGTAGATGAGAGAAGTCTTGTGAAAGGCAGGTTGTTAGGAATAGTTTATTCTGCAGAAGGATAAAAAATAGTTAGGACGAAGGTTGATTCGGTCTGGCGTTGCGTTCGCCGTGAGAGCGCGGACGCGTCCGCCCCGCTCAGGGGCGGAATGCCGAGTGCCTTCTGGCGTCAGTAATCGGGGGTGGCCGTCGAATCCTCTCTCTGTCTCTCGGCCTTGATGGTGATTGGTTGGACCACACGAAGGTAGACACTGGCTTTGGTGGTCCGTGTCTCGCGCACCTGTTTGTGTCTGGTCGGAGGCAGGCCGAAAAGTACATTCGAGCAAGGTCCTATGCTCTGAGTGACCTTGTCTGTGGCGTCAAGATTTAGGTGTGCGTCGAACAGAAGCGACCGCTACATGACCTCTACAATAATACTATAAGCACATTAGATCGGATAGTCTTTTATGTTACCCACAGAACTGTATACGCTGTAATGGATTACGGGTAACACCGATTGCCTTTCTGTACGAGGTCGTCACGCCACTCTGACCCTGTCTAACTTCCTGTTGTCGTCTGTGATCTTGGGAGGTTAGGCTCAACGCAGCAGCGACAACCGCGTAAGACCGCTTTGACTAGTGGAGGAAGCCGACGTCTCTTTACTGAATTAGCCTTGAGGCTCTGCTTGCTTGAGAGATGGACGAGTTGTGTCGTTGCACACGTATGCGGGAGCTTTATGCCAGCTTAGCAACTTTGCCCATGTTCGGCCGCAGAAGACTTGTCTTAGTCAAAAGAGAGGAAGGAGAGGCCGGCTGAAAACGCACTTATCTTTTTGAACAGGCGTATAAGAACCCTATAGTAGTGCGTGTGGTCTTCTGCCAAAAGCTACCCGACCATAATCTATCTGGAATTTAGTACAGTGTCATCCACATTACTGGATTCTTCCTATTTCCGCGTCCTGTCCTTTCCTTCCTAACTGTTACACAAATTGCCTAGAACTCAAACATTGACCTCACTTTCGTACTTCACCCTATTTCAAAAAGTGGATATTAGGAGTGGCGATAAATTAACCAAAAAAGAGAGCCTAAGAGGCAGTATAATTTTCTGCTCAACCAGTGTTCTTGGAAATGAGCAGAAAGTTTTGAAAATTCGCACTGAAAAATTTAAAAGATAAACTGCCGAGCATACGTTTGCTTTCGCTAAATTCACTTCAGGCTTGTCTATTTATATGGTAAATAATTAAATAAACTATGCTAGTGGGTAGAAAACACCGGACGGTTGT